CACCCACCATCCATCTACCTCTATCCATCCATCCACCTTCCCACCTGTCATCATCCATGGATCCATAGACCCACCCACACATCAGTCCTCCCACACATCCATCCATCACACTTGCACTCACCTATCCACCCACCTACCCACCCTCCACCCCATCACCCGTTCATCCGAGCCATCCATTCTTCCAACCACCCATCTGTCCATCCATCATCCATCCTCCTGTTCATCATCCATTCCATCCATCCTTCCACTCTTCTACCCACTCATCCACTTTCCATCATTCTTCCCTCCCTCCATTCATTCATCCATCATCCATTCCTCTGCTCATCACCCATCCATTCATTATCCCTCATTCATGCACCCATTCTTTTGCTTCCTACCAGTCATCCGCCATCACCACTCACCATCCATTACCCTCCCACCAAGCACCCATTTGTCCGTCCCACCCATCCATTCACTCCACTACCTACTCACCCATCCATCCACCCATTCTCCTATCCCTTCCTCTTTCTACCCACATCTTCCCTCCGACCCATCTATTACCCTTCCACCTTTCCTTCCACTTATCCACCCACACCTCCATCCATTTACCCACTCATCCTTCCCTTCCTCTCTGTATCCATCATTCGCCCCCCCCACCCATCACCTGTCTATCATCTGTCAACCCTCCCACCCATCCACCCACCCATTTATCCATTTGTCCACCCACCCATCACCCAAACATTCACCCCTTTACCCATCATCCATCCTCCTATCCATCTCTCCTTCCTTCCACTCCTCCACCTGCTCACCTATCTGTTCATTATCCTTCTCTTCCTCTCTCCATCCATCCATTTACCCATCTCTACTCTCTCACCTGTACACTGTCCATCCATTCATCCTCCATCCATCCATCCACCCATCCATCCATCCATCCATCATCCATCCATCCATCCATCCATCCATCCATCCATCCATCCATCCACCTAATAAACTTTAATGAATATCTCCATTCCTAGGCAGCCTGCTCGGTTCTAGGGAGAGTTTCCTCTCTGTGCTCTAGGAATTCACAGCCTCATGGGAAAGACAACCATGTAAACCACAACTCATTATTTTGTTAAACCTATTTTCAGCCAGTTCTATCTTTTGGGGTCAACACAGTCCACAGGTCACAGACTATGGAATTTTAAAGCAGAATATTTTGAGTCTTAGACAGTCTCTTCCCTGTCTCATCATTTCACTGGTGGGGAAAGTGTGGTCATCACAGTTTTGGAACTTCCTCTTATTTGCTTCTAAATGACTACTTCAGGCTTCAGTTTAGTTCACTTCAATTAATCTTGCTCTTCTTTTGTAAGTTCATGCAGCCAAACCCAAATAGTCTCTGTGGGTGAAGATGGGGCCACCTCTAGTTGCCAGCAGGTCTGATGCGGGTTGAGGGATCCAGGGCCACCATGTCACATTATGCTGAGCTGGGGGTATGAGGTACAGTGCTGGGGATCAAACCAGGGCCTCTCACATCATGCCAGGCAAATGCTCTACCACTTCAGCCAAAGCCTCGTTCCAGTTCAAGTCTTTTCTTTTCTTTTTGCCACACTTGACAATGCTCAGGGCTACTCCTGTCTCTGCATTCAGGAAGTATTCCTGGTGGTGCTTGGGTGTGTGTGTGGGGGGGAGCATATGAGATGCTGGGACTGAACCTGGCTTTGCCGCATGCAGGGAAAGTGTCCTACCCACTGTACGATTTCTCCGGCCGCTCAAATCATATTTTTCCTTAAAAATAAAAAATAAAGTTATTTTAAATTTTCCCCCTTCACTTTGTAGTTGCCATGACCTGGCTTTGCACAGTCTTGGTTGGGGGACTTGGTCATGGTATGGTGGAGGTGTTAGGGATCAAACCCTCGACCCCACGCACAGAAAGCTGTCTCTCTTTCACTGAGCTGTATCCTCAGGCCTTTAGGGAATCTTTATAAAAAAATGAAGCTGCACACCGGGCTCTGTCATAGCTGCAGATAGGCAATAGGGAGGCAATCGTTCCTGCCTTGAAGGAGGCAAAGCAGAGCTGATGACAGGTGGGGAGAGTGTTTTGCATGGATGATGTGGGGGAAGACGGGGGGGGGGGCGGGTGCAGGCCAGTGTTTAATGGCCACTTGTGTGCTGAAGTGGGCAGCCCCAGTGGGCGGCATTCTGCCCGACTGATGTGGCTCGCTGAGTTGGGGAACTCGCCATGAGTCGGGACGTCCAGGAGCCAGACCAGACACTTCGACATATCTCTGGGGCTCCTGGGACGCCATGTGTGTGTGGAGGTGTTCCTTCCTCTTGACTTAGATGGAGTGACCCCAACCCTTGTTCCTCCCGTGTCCTAGAGTGGGAAGCCAGGGCTCAGAGGGTGGGGATGCCGGCCCTCTCAGGCATCAGTGCTCAGCCTCCCATTCATGGTCATGCGGACCCTCCACTTTGGCCCCTGTGATCCTGGCTGCTTCTCCTCCAGGCCTGTGAGAGCAGGAGACGTCACAGTGTAAGGCCATACAGTGGGGGTGGGTGGGGGCACAGAGCCCGGAAGAACGAGCTGGGGCAGAGGAGGCAGGTGGGGCTGACTAGAGACGACCAGGCCTGAAACTATTTCCTGAAAAGGAGCGTTTCTCAACGGCTGTGCCTGACCTGAAAACCACAACAAAACCAGATTTCTGTTCTTTTCAAGAGAGCCACACCCAGCAGTGCTCAGGGGCTGCTCCAGCTCAGGGTCCTGGTGGTGCTGTGGGATCATATGATGTCAGGTTTCGAACCTGGACTTCTACCTGCAGAGCCGGTGCTCCAGATCATTGGGCCATCCCTCCACCCTCCAAACCACAGTTCTGCTTGGACAACATAGTAAAACCATTTATTAAGCCTCATTAATTCGATCTGTAGCCTTGAACAAACGGCTCTAGAGAGGGACAGAAAGAAGCTCTCATCCCTGCTGGGCTGAGGACACAGCATCAGAACCTCACTGTGTGCATTGATCCACGTGATCCACATGAGCCAGTGTGTGCCAGTGTGCGTGCATGCATGCATGCATGTGGGTCACACATGCATCTGTACACATCACGCACACGCGTGCCACTAACATTCATGTACATGCATGTATCACATGTATCCACACATGCACACTTGTACAGTATACACACATGGCACCTTTATGTACACACATGTCACCACTATGTCATCTTCACACATACAAAGATGTCACTTGCACTGGTGCACACGTGTATAGTTGCATGCACACATGTCACATGCACACATCACCTGTATATATGCACACATGTCATGTACACACATGTACATGTGTGCATACATCACCTGCACACCTAAGGTGTCACATGCACACACAGTGTCACCTGCACAATGCAACTGTGTGACCTGCACATACATGTCACCTGCAGTGCCACCTGTGCACATGTCATCTGCACACACTCATACATCACCTGCGCGTATACACATGTCACCTGCAGGCATACACGTGTCATCAGCACATACGCACATGTCATCACACCATCCACACATCACCTGCAGGCATGCACATGTCACCTACACACATGCACATGTCACCTGCACACACGCACAGGCCACCTGCATGCACACACACATCACCCGAGCAATGCAATGTCATCTGAATCATGCACACATCACCTGCACACATCACCTGCACAGTCACCTGCACATATGCACACGTCACTTGCATGCATGCACGTTCCCTCCCCATGCACGTCACCCGCACACATGCTTGTGTGCGTGTGTGAGTGCCTGGTTCTCCAACTCTTCCCCTTCCCGTTGAGGGGAAAACTGCACAACAACCACAGGGTGATGAGAGGACCCCCTGGAGACCCTAGAGATGTGCGTGGGGAAACCCATCCCACTCCTTCTTCCCCCCTTCCCTTAATCTGTGGCTGTCACAGATAGAAATGAGCTGAGCCCTGGCCGCCTCTTTGGGACTCCCTTTGCACACAGTGGGAGTTGAATGAATACTTGATGACGATGCTTCCGGACCTGCAACGCCAGCAGCTGTTCTGGCTCTGAGTCTTAGAGATGCAGGGGGCAGATCAGTTGGAGAGCAACCCTGGGGCTCTCTGGTGTTCCTGTTAGAGCTTTGGGGCACTGAATTGGGGGAGGGGAGACCAGTCCCCCACATCTCTCAGTCTCTTTCCCACCTACCGCTGCAGAAATATTGATGGAACTGGGGTGCTGAGGGGAGCATTAGTTAAGAGCATTCTGAGGAGACAGCAGTGGACCTGTGGGGTTCCACTGCCCTGGGTTCAAATCCTAGCCCGTTAATTACCAGCTGGGCGACAGCTGGCAAGTCACTTATGTGTGCTTTAGGGACTTTTTCCTTTTTTTACAGTTTCATCTGTAAAAGGAGAATGATGACATCATTTTCATAGGGTTGATGTGAGGGTTAGAAATAACAGAGGCGTCTGCACACATCTTGCGGGCGTTCTGTGAGCAGTAGGTGAGCTTATGCACCTGGCACTAGGAGGCTGCGGGGCCCCTGCTGCTTTGGTGACCTTGATGTCGCTCCTCGGACACCACCTGGAGCCTGGGTTTGTAGAAGAGGAACATCACGCCCACGACGCCGGGACTGGATGAGACGTGTGAAGGACCCTGCCCATTAATAACGGATTGTCTTCCTGCCCCCGCACCGGGGCGCACCGCTCGGCTCTCCCGGAGACTCTCTGCGCCTCCCGCACCCCCACCCCTTCCATCTCGGGTCGCCTCGGGCGGGCGGCTTTGGTCCGTACCTGTCGGTGGAAAGACGGCGGGGGCGCAGCGCCTCGGGTCCAGGCGGGGAGCGAAAACTACATTTCCCAGCTCTCCCCGCGCCGCCGCCGCCGGGCTGGGAGCGGAGGGCGGCAGGCCCCGCCCCTGGGCGGAGCCTGTGCGGGGGGCGGGGCCAGGGCTGGCCGGGGAGTTTCGCCAAGCCAATGAGACCAGCTGCTAATAAGTGGGCTTGGCTTACAATATTAACAGTGGGAGGAGGAGGAGAGCGAAGCTATTGAGCCAGCGAGGAGTGGAGCCGAGCCTGGCCTCACACGCTCCTAGAGGACCACCTCCCGAGACAGAGTTCTTTTTTCCCCTTCTTTCCTCCGAGCTCCCTTTCTGCCCTCCCTCCCGGCCCGGTACAATGCATGCTTGAGTGGCACCGTCTGGACTCCGGGCAGCCCCAGAGAAGCGAAGCGAGCCAGAGAGAGGACTGGAGCCGAGACGCTGGTGGGGGAGCTTGGATGCCTGGCTTTCTCTGAGGACATCTTTGGAGCCAAGGGTGGCTTTGGGGTGGGGGTTGTGGTGCAGACAGTCCAGCACGGCCCCAAGATGGACCCTTCTGGACACTTCCATGACTCGGGGGTGGGGGACCTGGATGAAGACCCCAAGTGCCCCTGTCCCTCCTCGGGGGATGAGCAGCAGCAGCAGCAGCAGCAGCAGCAGCAGCAGCAACAGCAGCAGCAGCAGCCCCAGCCGCCGCCGCCACCACCGCCAGCACCAGCAGCAGCCCCCCAGCACCTTTCGGGACCCCCGGTGCAACCTCAGCCTCCTCAGCTGCAGCAGCAGCCGCCACCGGCGCCAGCGCATCCCCTCTCTCAGCTCGTGCAACTCCAGAGCCAGCCCGTCCACCCCGGCCTGCTGCACTCCTCTCCCTCCGCGATCAGGGGCCCCCCTTCGTCCAACTCCACTGCCATCCTCCACCCTTCCTCCAGACAAGGCAGCCAGCTCAATCTCAATGACCACTTGCTTGGCCACTCTCCAAGTTCCACAGCCACAAGTGGGCCCGGAGGAGGCGGCCGGCACCGGCAGGCCAGCCCCCTGGTGCACCGGCGGGACAGCAACCCGTTCACGGAGATCGCCATGAGCTCCTGCAAGTACAGTGGTGGGGTCATGAAGCCCCTCAGCCGCCTGAGCGCCTCCCGGAGGAACCTCATTGAGGCTGAGCCCGAGGGCCAGCCCCTGCAGCTCTTCAGCCCCAGCAACCCCCCCGAGATCATCATCTCTTCCCGGGAGGATAACCATGCCCACCAGACCCTGCTCCACCACCCCAACGCCACCCACAACCACCAGCACGCCGGCACCACCGCCAGCAGCACCACCTTCCCCAAAGCCAACAAGCGGAAAAACCAAAACATTGGCTATAAGCTGGGACACAGGAGGGCCCTGTTTGAAAAGAGAAAGCGGCTGAGTGACTATGCTCTGATTTTTGGGATGTTTGGAATTGTTGTTATGGTGATAGAGACCGAGCTCTCTTGGGGTTTGTACTCAAAGGTAGGGGCTGCGGTTTCTCTTTATACCTTGAACAAAAGGAATATGTAGGTAGCAAGAGAGAGAAAGAGATGGGGAGAGGAGAGAGAGAGAGAGGGAGAGAGAGAGAGAGAGAGAGAGAGAGAGAGAGAGAGAGAGAAAGAGAGACTGAGAGCGAGGTGGAGGGGGGAGAGGCGTTTGCTCAATTATGTGCAACACTCTTAACTTCCCATGGTTTTCCGTCTTAATCCTGGGAGAATTCATTCCTCCCTTCCTCGGGGGGAGGGGGCATCCCTATACACTGTCTAATTTGGAGTCTTGGCGTTAGGGAGGATTAAAGAATCCCTTCGGAGAAATCATCCCCCCCACCCCCTCCTGGCTCACTCGTACTAAAGCATAACCCAGCAAGCTTAACGCACCAATTAATTACACTCTGCCTTGATGTTCCTGCCAGTCCTGCGACTTCCCCTCCTCTCCCCGCCCGCTCCGCTCCATTTTCCCGAGGACATAAAAGAAATAAATGTCTGGGTAGGGGGTGGGGATTCCGTGCCATCCCCCGGGTCTCCTTTCTCTCTTGCTCGATCTTCTGCTCTTCCCAACTTAGGCTTGCCCTCTTCTTCTGAGCAAGATGAAAGAGAGACTCAGGCAGAAACCTGGGGAGCCCCGGGGTAACCCGAGCCTCCAGGGGCCAAAGCTCAGGCAGAGGGAAGCCGCGATCCCGTCCTCGGGGGAGAGCGGACCGGAATAGACCTGCCGCTGCCTCAGAGACATCCCCTGACAAAAATGGCTACAGGTGGCACCCGGGCACAGCAGATGGTGCTGGCTTGGCATTAGCAGGCACTGGTGTGGGGGATGACACGGCTTCCCGGGCGCGCCCCCGGCTCAGCCCCCAGCCCCGGCTCTCCCCTCCCACCTCCACCCTGGTGGGCTGAATCGGGATGAGTGTGTGAGTGCGCCCGGTGAGAGACGGACAGCGGCGGGCGGCGGCGTTGGCGGCCCGCCCCGAGGCCACGGCCTCCCAGCCCAGCCCCAGGACGAGGAGGTGCTCCCTCCACGCGGGGGCCTGGGAGTGCGTCCCCCCTGGGCTTTGAGAAAGGTGGGTTCTGTCACGGGCGGGCACTGCTGCCAGAGAGCGCCCCTGCTGTGGGCTGGGGAGTTGTGGGACTAAAGACACCCCCACCCTCCCCCTCACCTCCAATATGTTGTGTGTGTCTTGGAGTGCGTGCGTGTGTGGATGTGTGACCGCATGTGTGCACGTGTGTGTGCACGTGCCCGCGTGTGTGTATGTGTGCGTGCACATGTGTCTTTATGTGTGCTGTGTGTGCATGAGCTTGTGTGTGTGTGTGTTGTGCATGTGCCCCTGTGTGTGTCTGTGTGTGCATGAGCCTGTGTGTGGCATGCCCATGTGTGTGTGTGAGCGTGTGCATGTGTGTGCACAGGCCTGTGTGTGCGTGCATGTATGTCTGTTGCGCGCACGCGGGCTGGTTTGCTGCTTAGATTTCTACTTATTTGTCATTTTGGGCAGGGGCTGACTGGGGCTGGCTGGGAGGGACTCAGCTGTTGGAGGTTTCAAACAGAGCTTGTTTCAGGCTGGGCACAGCTGCTGTGACACTGTCACATTCCTTGCTGAAACCCGGCCACGGAGACCTGGGGGCTGCTGATCGGGTTTCCCGGCCCTAGTCTTGCGCTCTGAAGGGCAGCAGTGGCCAGGGCAGACCCCTCAGCGAGCACCCAGCCCTGCGTGCTCCACCAGTGCCTTCCTCCGCGGCCGCTCAGGGACCTGAGCCCCTGTGCGAGCAGAACCGAGGGAGTGTGGGGTTTCCCCGGAGCTGCAGCTCACTTAGTCATTCCCTAGAATGAGCCTGTCTGCAGGTCCTGCTGCCTTCCCGGAACACCCTCCACAGCGCACCCTGCAGGGCCCCCAGATCCTCCCAGCCACCTCCTGGGGGTCAGCCAGGAGTTCTTGAGGGAAGCACACGACAACCCAGGGGCTGGGGGCTAATGAAGGGGCTTGGTCGGGGGGGGGGGGGGGGAATCCTTCTCTCAAGGGACGCCTGCGCAGAGCTGATGAGGGCATCGCTGCCCCCAGAGGCGCTAGGGTGGGCCCTGAGTGTGTGTTTGAACCCTGGGGTGCTGGCCAGAGACTGCGAGGCAGGATGGGGTCCCCATCATTGCAGGGAGCGGGGCCACCCAATGGGGTCTCCAGGGAAGGGACTTTCACTAGGTAGGCTGGAGAAAGCCGACTAGGGAAGCAGAGGGCTGGGCTCACCAGCCCATGTCTACCTGAGGGGACTGGGCAGATCTCGGGGCCATTGTGGGTGGGACACGCACCTGTGAATGGCTGTGAAGGCCCCCCCTGACCTGTGCCCGCCCAGCCGCCCTCTCTCTGTCTGCTCCATCTTTGTCTCCTGCGGCAGGGCCAGGCCGAGAGCCCACATCTGTCCTGGCAGGAGCGAGGGCCACTGGAAAGAGCCAGCCTGTGCTCTGAGCCCCACATGCCTGTCCCAGCTGTGGGGCTCTGGGCATCAGGCGGGAGACATGGCGGGGTGCAGGACACCTGCTGGCCACTGCTTCCCTCTCCCTCGGCCTCCTGAAGGCTGCAGGGTTCCATGCATCTGGGAGGGGCTGAGACTCCACAATGGTGTGAGAAGTTGCATGGGGAGGGCAGATGTCCTGGGGGGGGACTTCTTGTTGCACCTGCTTTCTGGGTGGTCCCACGAGGCCAGGAAAGGGACTGGCCCAGCCTCAGGGCAGAGATGGGCTCTCAAACCAGAGGGTGGGCTGCAGGGGGGCCTCGCCGGCAGGGCCAGCCCACCCTGGGCTTAGTGCTGCAGAGGTTTGTACATCTGGGTGCCCTTTGCTGACCAGGAGAAGCAGGAGGTTGGAATGACACGGGGCCCCAGTCTAACCGTGTGATTCTGCATAGCTGGTGGCATTTCCCATGTCCTCATGGGTCAGAGGGACACGGTGTCCTCAAAAAGGCTTTTGTGGAGACTTTGTGCTAGGTGCTTCCCTTGGGTGTGATCTTCTGTGGTGCCCGGGGTTGGTGGTCTTTCTTACTGGGGGAGGCTTTGTTTCCTGGCACATCCTAAAGTTAATGCAACAGAGAGCTGGCATGAGGAGGTGAGATGTGGGGCTGGAGGGTTCAGTGACTCCCCCCTGACCAGTCAGTGGTGACAGGTGGGGGCAGTCAGATACAGGTCATGGCTCAGCACTGTGGGGCCCTGAGCCACATGAGGAAACCTCAGCAGGGGTCTCCTCTGGGTGCGCAGGGTCCTCCTTCAGCTGGGCTGTGTCTTCATGTGCGTTTCTCTCTGAGACTGTTACTGCCTGCACAGGCCAGATCCTGGGGAGAAGCTTGTCACGGTGACACCACCACTTCAGTGGCAGGGAGGGCATGGGGAGGCCTGGGGGCTCACACCTGGTGATGCGCAGGGGTTACTCGTGGCTCTGCACTCAGGAATTACTCCTGGTGGTGCTTGGGGGACCATCGGGGATGCCAGGGATTGAACCGGGGTCAGCTGCGTGCAGGCAAACGTCCTCCCCGCTATCCTATCGCTCTGGCCCCACCAGGACTGGTTTGAGGTACACACAGGTCACAGACTGTCAGCTCTCCTCTTCCTGCAGCCCTGGCTCCGTGCAGGCCTGCCTGACCCGCCGCCCACCTGCCATCCTGCTGTGGCTGAGCTGTGGCCACTGTCCAGCGGGCAGGCCCCTGGGCCTCTGACACAGGCACAGGAGGCGACTCCCCCTTCCCTCCAGTGTTTTTTTCTTCTTATGCTTTTGGGTCACACCTGGCGATTTTCAGGGGTGACTCCTGGCTCAGCACTCAGGAAGCACTCCTGGAGGTGCTTGGGGAACCATATGGAATGCCGGGGGTCAAACCGGTGCAAGGCAAACACCCTCCCCGCTGTGCTTTGGCTCTGGCCCTTCCTCCAGTTTTGTCCCCATCCTTGGCCTCATAATCCACCAGTTTCTCCTTGCGAAGAGCTCCGCCCTTCTGTCCCCTGTGCTGCCCCTGACTCTCTGTCCTTCCCCTGAGATCACACCAGCTTCTCTGGGCAGAGAGGCTGGTCTGGTAGTGCAGATGGGCCGAGGCTGCTGGCCGTCCACTCTTGGAAGATGGCCGGCTTCCTGGGGGCCGCAGCGGCACTGCTGGGATCCCAGCTCCTGGTGCCCCTGTGGCTGTGTGTCAGACACAGCTGAGGGGGCGGCAAGGGAAGGTGTTGGTGTGTTTGGGGGATAGTGTCCTCCTGTTTGTGTCTGTGGGTCCCTCCAGAGGCCCCTCCCTGGGGAAGAAGTACGGAATGGGGTGCTGATGGCGGGAGACCCTGGCCCGAGCGCGGGAACCTGTGGAGATGTGGAGCATCTTGGCCCTGGAGGCCTGCCCAGGGGCGCTCTCTCTCCGCACTGTCACGGCGGTGGCACTCTGATTTCTGATCGCTGTGGACAGCCTGAGACCCCATGGGTGACTTGGAGGAGGGGCCCTTCACACGTGCCCCACTCTGTTGGCTGCACTCTAGAACAGTCTAGAACAGTCTCCGGGAAGGATGGGATATGCAGGTGATCTCTGGGCCGTGGTCACCCGAGGATTGGGGCTTAGCGGGGCTCGTGGCCTCTGCTTTCTAGGCAGCAAGACCTGCAGGTCGGGGTGTGGGCAGGGACGAGGCCTCAAGAGCTGCTCTATGCAACAGAAGGTCAATTCAAGTCACGCAGGAGACAAGGGCCGCCTGAGTGGGCTGGCCCGGCCCGCTGAACCGCTGAGCGTCCACGGCTCTGGGCGTGGTGGTTCTGTTGCTGCGCCTTGGGAGACATGTTTGTGGGGACTCATGTGAGCGAGCAGAGGGGAAGAGGAGCGGTGTGAGGGGCAGCTGGGTTGAGGATGGTGTGAGGGGCGGCTGGGATGAGAAGCCGTGTTGCTTAGTTCCAAGGCTCCACGTGCGGCAGGCCGGCCGACTCGCGGCTGTGTTTCTTTCCTCTCTTTCAAAGCCCAGAGGGAGAGCAAGGAAGAAGCAAAGCACCCA